GCCTTTCAATGTGACTGTGTTGACAAAGAATAGCCCTTGTTAAGGTTGTTTAGTAAAATAACAGCATCATTACTCTGCAATCCCAAGGGATCCTAGTGGTTCCCTAAATCCCACACCTCCCGGAGGTCCTGACGAGGCCTACCTACCCTGACCCTCTTACCTACCCTGACCCTCTTAACTTTCTCTAACTCTTCCTTATTCTGGGCACTATACAAGGTAGCATCTGGTTATCAATTATCTTAGAGATTATTCTCTTCTTTACAAACTACTTATGGGTTTAAATTTCTTTTGTTTTGTTCTCAGTGAGGTGGTGGGTGCTCCAAAATCCCAGGCAAAATGTTCCTAATCTAAACAGCTAGCTAGCTAGAGATACAGAGATATGGAGAAAGGTAGACAAGGATACATGCCAGGTAATTTAAAAGCATTACAGGGTAGGACAGAAAAATGAGAGCAAAGAAGCAATTAATAAAAAAAATAATAAATTTTTTGAAAAGTATATATTTTATGTGTGTAAAATTATGATCCCACTTAAATAAAGAAAGTAGAGCTATCTCTATTCACTAACAAGGTTTAAATTTGAAAAAATGCAAATTAGAGCTACATCTATTCACTTACAAGGTTGTCCATGCAATGCTTACAAGTAAACAAAGCAAACTGCAAACTCTCTCTCTAAATAAAAACAAAACCTTTTAATGAATGTTTATACACACAAATAAAGGGAAAGATGAAAAAGGATATACATCAACCTAAGCTTAACATGGGTTATCTGATGGTGACTAGAGACATTTAAAGATTTGTCTTAACACTGGATTTAAGCTACTATTAGTGATTTCTTTCCTGTTTTCTCTTTCTTTCTCTTTCTTAAAAGCACTTTCTTAAAAGCACTTTCTCTTTCTCTCTCTGTTCTTTTCCACACTGGGAGCTTCAGTTGTCCAGAAACTTATCTCCTGATGTCATTACTAGAGAAGGCCTGAGCCTTCTCTGATCACACCAACCATTCTGTGGCCGGGAGTGTGGGCACTGATTGGCCACTGAGCTAGAGAAATGTCTCTGTAATATCTCTTAGGCTGGAGGCTTTTCTGGTAAGGGGTTGTAGAATGTCATTTTCCCAAAAGGCACAGGCCCAGAATCTGGGCAGGAATTGCAGGCCAAAGGAGAAGTAAGAGGCAATAAGGCGGAGAGTAGGTCAAGCTGCTGCTGATTCTACCCTAGTGCCAAGTAACACAACTTCAATTACTATTCCTTCCCATCACCTGTGTCTACAAAAGGCAAAATTAAATAAATATGATGGTCCTCATTTTTCTGCCAAAAGCTTAGTTTATAATAGCGATTACAATACAAGTAAATACAGTGTATTCTTTTAGTAAAGAGTATAGCATATTGTAGATTCTTAATAGATATTAAAGAATAGCAACACTGCTTTGAGAAAAATATGTCCAACGAATTTGGTATGTTTTTATATCAACAGAAAAAGTCATTAAATATTCATGAGACCATACAATGCTGGAATATTTTAAAAGTCAGAAATTAAACTTGAAAAGTAATTTTTTAATTAAAAAAAAAGAATTATACTTGAGAACCATGCAGTTTTCAAAAAGCCACCTATGCTAATGCAGAGTTTATATTTATACGTCATTAAAGATATACCAAAAATTACCCCAATATATTTCTCCCCTATCCTTTCTCTATCTCATTGTGGCTTCATATAAATAGAATAGTTTTTTTATGTGCTATTTTTAAATGTCTTCTTAGAAATAAATTGACAACCTTATTTTGTTACCCTTCCAGAATACATTCATTCACTCATTCATTCAACAAATCATAATTGAAGATCTGCTGTATATTAAGTATTGTTCTTTGCTCTGGGAATACAGCAAGGAGCAAAGTAGACAATAATCCTTTCCTTCGAGGAGCCAATATCCTACTGGAGGCAAACAGCCAACAAACAAGCATGTAAAGTATATAGTGGAGTATGTCAGATGGTGATCAGCATGACGGAAGAAAATAAGAGGGACGGAGAGCATCATTGGTGAGAAGGCTGCAATTTTATGTAGGATGGAGTCAAGGAAGGTCTTGCTCAGAAGAGAATATGTGAGCAAAGAACTAAAAGATGTGAAGGGGGAAAGCCACATGGACACGTAGGAGAAGCATGTTGAAGGATGAGAGAGCTTCTGCATACGCTGAAACCAAGTCAAGGAGTGTGCTGTTAATGTCGACTGTCACCACGCACTATTCTGTACCAACCTCACCTTACTCCAACTGTGTGCTGGCCTTGCCGCTGCTCAGGTATATGCTGGTGAATTGGGGCTGAGGGACCAAGGAGGCAGTGCAGACCTATAGAAGCTCCTCTGAAAACTCCTTCTTCCCAAATTGACAAGCCATCATCACATGACTGAAAGGGATGTTGGGCACTCTTCTGGAGCACCATGTCCAAGAGAACTTTCTATACTGATGGGGATGTTCTTTATCTGTGCTGTACAATGAGTAGCACATGACTAGACATATGTGGCTACCTGGCACTTAGGAAGTGCTATGTAACTAAGGAACTGCAATTTTAATTGTAAATTTTAACTAATTTAAATTAAAATAGTCAAATGTGGCTAGTGGCTACCATACTGGCCAACATAATTCTGGAGTAGAAGTAGGTCTTAAGAGCACAGAAATTGCTTACTAATAGCTACTTCTAAAAGAAGAAATATTTCATTTAATTTGCTAAAGTTCAAGTTAGTCTAAAAAGAATTCTATGAGTAAATAGGGCAATAAAGCTTAACCACTATTTACCATGTAATTCTCTGGCTACTGCATGGAAAAAGTACTGCTAGTAGGCCTTTTTTACCTTAACTTTTGTGTTTCCCTGTGGGTGTTTGATTATTGCTGAAGTAATAATTAAGTTTTGTAAAATCCTGTGGTTTTTAATAATATTTATTTATTTTGGAGAGAGTGCAAGTAGGGGAGGGGCAGATTGAGGAAGAGAGGATCTAACCAGGGCTCTGCACTGATAGTACTGACAGAAGCAAGCCAATGTGGGGCTTGAACTCATGAACCTTGAGATCATGACCTGACTTGAAATCTGATGTTCAATCAACTGAGACACTCAGGTGCCCCAGTAAAATTCTGTTCTTAAATCAAGCTGTGTTTCTTGCTATCAAGTTTTTTCTTCTCAATTTGATTTGTCTTTAGGTGACATACATTTATATGCAAATGTAAAAATATTAATAAATATAACAAATGGGATGTAGTATCATAAGCTATACCTTCATGTACTCTTTAATTCTAACAAAATAGAATCAAACACTATGATTAAGCAAAATAGCTTAAAAGATTTGTTGGGGGGTGAACTGACATTTAAATGGTTTTGTTTTTTACAAAAATGGAAACAGAAGATACTCTTCATTTCATGTGCCATGCAAGGCCAATCTTTAAAAATATCCATGGGGCGCCTGGGTGGCTCAGTCGGTTAAGCGCCTGACTTCAGCTCAGGGCATGATCTTCCAGTCTGTGGTTTCGAGCCCTGTGTTGGGGCTCGACAGCTCAGAGCCTAGAGCCTGCTTCAGATTCTGTCTCCCTCTCTCTCTGCCCCTCTCCTGCTTGCACTCTGTCTGTCTCTCTCTCTCAAAAATAAATAAACATTAAAAAAAATTTAAACTATCCAAAACTTTATTAAAATATATGGGTTCTAAGAGAAAGGCACACATATATGCATATATGTTTAGTATGCGTTATACTAAAGAAACCACTGTGAAAGCTACACAAGAAAACTTCATGTCTTAGAACTTCTGTTTAATCCAACAGCACCCAGAGACGATGAAAGCCAGTTACTAAAAAATTTATTGCTTGGTTAAAACTCAGTTTACAATTCAAAGGATTTCTAAAATCTCTGTGCTGTTATGAAGCTTTATGGGGTTTACAATGGAGATGAAAACAGAAATAAAAAGATCTGACAAACAGAAAATGCCTAAGATATTTCTAGCATTATCAACACGGATTCTTTTCTCCCTATCATTACTTTTTACCTTATTCCAAGACGAATGAATTTAACTCATCCACCTAAAAAAGAGAACTATGTTTTCTAGGGTCCCTTTCAAAATGTAAATGTCTGAATGGCAATTTTCTTTGAAAGAATATTATTTTTATAATTTTTAAAAGAACCAGAATATAAACTCTACAGGGCAGGAATTTTTTAAAAATCTGTAGTATTCCCAATGCCTACATAGTGCCTGACATATAGTAGGCGCTTAATAAATAATTATTGAATTAACACTTTTATCAGAATCTTTTATTAAAATAAAGATAACCAAATAGTATTATGATGTTAGTATAGATTTTCATTTTAACACTTATCAAAAAATCTTGTTTTATCATCTCTACATACAACAAAATCTTTTCTAAAGCTTATTGTTAATTCTCTGCATTAGCCAAAGACTTTGACATATTTCATAAAATTATTTACACAGAATTCTGTGATCCCTCCAAAATTTTTTTATTCTAATAATGATCTGAAACTGTAAAGGAATGTCTGAAACCTATCAAAATAGAATGTCATGGAATCTTCAAAACAAAATATTATTTAAATTACTACAAGAATAATTGCAAATCTACTGATGAGCCATATTAGATATTTCCTAGTTTTCTTAAATCTTTTAAACAGTATTTTCTAATTCTCTGCTTGGTTTGTTTTATATTACTGTCAAATCCTTCACTTTCAAAATCAAGTACATTGAGACAACAAATAATAAAACTGCACTACATTTTTTTAAATTTTATACCAAAAGATCTACTTTATTTTAAAAGCAAAATCTAATACACATTGGAAAATACTGAGCTGGAATGTTTGCTGAAATGCTGTTTACTGCAAATGTCCCAATGTTTTATCAACTAACACTGAAGTTTAAATTAGGGCTAAACTCAGGAAACTGACCTTCATAATATTTTAACATTATGTTTGTCTTTATAAGGTAGTTTTCTTCTAAGAAAAGCAGACTTAAATGTCCTCGACTTACAGTCAGATTTCGGTCCCAGATCTGTATGCTTCCATTCTGGCAGGCAGCCGCTATGAGGTTTCCATCTCTACTATATGTGCACGTGGTGGGAATCACTTTTTTACCCTGCACCGTCCGTGGTTTAAACACATTTTTTTGCTTCCTTGGATTTTCAACTTCCCATGTCCTCACAGTCCTAAAAATAATAAAGAAATTTTCACTTGCAAAAAAGTTTAAAATTCAGAAGAGCTCATAAAGACCACTAGACCTTGTAAGCATATAAATCTAATAATTATTTTAAAATATAATGCACACTGTAAAAAAGTCTCCATTTATAAATAGTTACTTACTGAAATAAAGTAAACTATCTGAATCATGCTGTCTTCAAATAAAACAGCAAGTAGCAAATTCCACTTCAAAGCTATCAGAGTTATAAGTTCTAACCCTCTACAACAGTGGCCTCCAAACAATTCTGACTATACACTCTGATCAGTAAAACTGTTGGATATACACCCTCTATATACACACACATTAATTTCTAATTACTTACATGTGTTAATGTACTGTTATATAACACATCCCGGAAAACACACTAAAAAAATAAGTCATTGAAAAAAGAATAATGTCCCTCTCTAGATCCCAGAAAAAGATTTCATGCCTCCGGGGGAGAAGCAGAAACAAAATTGTCTGCCCTGGGTTTTCAACAAGTAACAAGAAACAGCAGTCCAAGGCTGGGGGAGGTACAGAGTACCCTCTTGCTCAAAGTCCCAGGCAAAGGAGCACTGTCACTAACGAAGGCTAAAACAAGATCCTTATGACCCAGAGAGAGAGAGACAGAGAGAGAGAGAGAGAGAGAGAGAAATCCCATAAAATACAGAACAACAAAGATGAGTTCAGCAACTACTGGGCAGAAACTATCCAAGCCAAAGCACTATGGAATATATCTAAAGTTCTAAAAGAGGTGAAAAAAAAGTCAATCTGATATTCTACAGGCAATGAAAATATATTTCACAAGGTAAAATAAAGACTTTTTCAGATGAATGAGAGCTGAGATAATTCATTTAACAAGAAATGTTAAAGGAAGTTCTTCAGGAAGAACAATGATGATACAAATGGAAATGTGAATCTGCACAAAGAAAGAAAGAGTGCCACAAATGGTAAAATTGAATAAAAATGTAAAAGATATTTTTTAAAATGTTTAAGTCTCTTTAAAAGATAAATGACTAAAGTAAAACAATATATTGCAAGATATACAGCATATGTTCAAATAAAATATAGGTCAACAAAAGCAGAAAGGTTGGGAAAAAGATATGGAAGTATAGTTTTATACTATACTTGCAATGTATAGTATTATTTGAAGAGAGACTTTGATACATTAAAGATATATATTACAAAATCTAGAGCAATCACTAACATATTTTTATAATGAATATATAATTGGAGATAAAATGGAAATGAAACAAAAACAGGAAGAGATAATAAATAAGAACCATGGGATAAATATAAAACAAACAGCAACATGGTAGGTTAAAATCCAATCTCATAAATAATTACATTAATTACAAATTATCTAAAAACTCTAATTAAAAGATAAAGATGGTCAGATTGCATTAGATGAAAGCAAGACTCAGCAGATTCTGTCTTTTAAAATACAAATTCTGTCTTTTAAATATGAAGACTTAGATAGGTTGTTACAGTAAATGGATGGGGAGAAATGTTCCAGATAAACATAACTAAAAGAAAGCTGGAGTAACTATATTAAATGTCCAATAAAGTGTCAGAACAAGGAATAAAATTAGAGGCAAAGAAGAAAATTTCACAATAATAAAGAGTCAACTGATCAAGAACACGTTAACAATCTTAAATGCATATGCCACTAATAACAGAGATTCAAAATAGGAAAGCAAACTTAACAGAAATAAAAGTAAATATAGCAAATCCATATTTATAGTTTTATACTTCAACATTCCTCTCTCAGTGACCGGTAGAACAAGTATACCCCTCCTTGTTCCCCCCAAAAATCAGTAAGGATACGGAAAACCTCAAAAGCAATTCCAAACAAGTTGAGTTAACTGACATTTATATAACACTTCACCCAACAGCAAATGAAAATGCATTCTTTTCAGGTAGACAATGAACACACTCTGGGCAATAAAACAAATATAAACACACTAAAAATGACCAAAATCATAAAAAAGTATGTACACTGTCAAAAAACAAAATTACATAAGCAATCAATAACAGAAATGTATCAGAAAATATATCTTTTCCAAAACATTTGGAAAATTAAGAAACACAAAGAAAAATCACAAGGGATAGTAGAGAAACTATGAAAACACAATATATCAAAATTCATGGTATTCAGCTAAAACAGAACACAGAAGAAAAATATAGCATTAACTGTATACATTAAAAAAAAAAAAGGAAGGCCTCAAATTAATGATCTAAGATTCAACCTTAAGAAATTAGAAAAGAGAGAGAAAATTAAAGCAAATAAAAGGAAGGAGATCATAAAAATGAGAGTAAACAATAAATAAAATAGAAAACAGAGAAATCAAAACCTGGTTCCTTGAGAAGATCAACAAAATTAATAAACCTTAAGCTGGATTAATGAAAAAAAAATTAGAGACAATATCAAACATCAATACCTTGAATGAAAGAGAAGATATCACCATAAAGCTCAACAACATTAAAAGGATAATAAGGGAATTTTATGAACAAGTTTATATAAACATTTGATAATTTATATGGACAAATGTCCTTGAAAGACACTACCAAAGTTCACTCAATTAAGAAATAAATAACTGGAATATTCTATATGATTAAAAAGTTGAATATATAGTTACAAATCTTCCCTCAAGAAAACTCTAGATGGCTTCACTATTTACTTCTAGCAAACATTTAAGAAAGAATACCCACTCTACACAAACTCTTCCAGAACACAGAACAGAAAACACTTCCCAACACTCATTCTATAAGGCCCGCACTACACTGATGCCAAAACCAAAGTCACTACAAGAAAACTATGGTTCCATATGCCAATAAACAGAGACACAAAAATCCTTAACAAAGTATCAGTAAATTCAAAGTAGCAGTGTATAAACATAATGACGTACCACAATTAAGTGGTATTTAAACCAGGAATGCAAAGAATTTAAAGAAATGAAAATTAAACAATATAATGTACCATATCAACAGACAATAAAAGATATATGATCATCTTAATCCATGCGAAATAAATATTTCACAAAAAATCCAACATTCATTCATAATAAAAACTCTCCACATACTAGGAAGAAGATGGAACTTCCTCACCCTGACTGAAGACACATATGAAAAACTTAACAAGTAAAATAAATAGTAATGAAGAAAGGCTGAATGGTTTCCTCTTATGGTTGAGAATAAAGCCATGATATCAAATTCTCACCATGTCTTTATGCTGAAGTTGCCAGTCAGGGCAACAAGATGAATAAAAGAAATTAAAGGCTTATAGACTGGAAAGAAGTAAAACCATCTTTATTAAGAGACCACATGATCATATACATAGAAAAACCCAAGAATCTATAAAAATGCTACTAGAGCTAATAGTGAGTTTAACAAAGTCACAGGGTATTAGGTCAATAATCAATTTTATCTCTGTTGACTAGCAAAACTTACATGTTGAGATTATGAAAATAATACTGTTAATATGGTATGAATAAACATGGAACCTGACAAGATATGTGTAGCATCTTTACACTGAAAACCATCAAATGCTTCTGACAGAAATTAAAGGAGATCTACATATATGAGAAGATGTACTATATTCATGGATCAGTAGTCAATATTGTTAAGATTTCAATTCTCCCCTAGTTAAATCTTTAGACTGAACACAAGTTCAAAGTTCGAGCAGAGTTTTTTTTGAGACAGAAATTGGGTAAGATAATTCTAAAACTTATATGGAAATGCAAACAACTTGGAACAGCCTGCACAATTTTGAAAAAGAACAAAATTGGGGAATTCTACCTTGGTTTCCATATTATAACACCCCACATTATAACACCAATCACATAAGTCGTAATTACACATATTAACATCTATTCCTTCTACGAGAAGGCCTACTTCAGAGTAAGTTTGCTCTGTCTGTCTGTCTCTATCTCTTTTTAAATTTTTGTATGCCTAGGGTCTGCACCATCTCTTAAACATAATAGGAACACAACACACATTGAGTCCTCAATAAATGTTTGTTGAAGAATAAAAGAAATTCACTGCTTATCTAAGCATTTTAGACATCAACTTTATTGAGCTATAACCAATATACAATAAATACAATTGATTTTCAAGTGTATACACTTCAAATAGCCAGCATTTTTTATCAAATATTTATGATTTATTCCAAATTAGAGTTTGAGGTTTTTAAAAAAATAACTTTAGCATATCCTAGCCCTAAGTTTTGCTTGGGAACTTCATTGAATGCTTAACATTACCAAACCCTAGTTTACAGAGCTATCAAACCCAGTGCCTGACATAAGATTGCACTGACTACATTTTAGGAATTAATGACTAGCAAAATGTAAGTTCAAGTAAAAATCTGGAAACAGTACACACAGAAACATTAAAAAGGCATCCTGGAATTCCAGGATTTAAAGCAGCCTAATGGGGAGCCAGGAGACTAGAAGCCATCAACAGTGTGACAGACACTGCTAGCAGCATACTCCAACATCGATTCTCTTTTCTTCTCTGTTAAAGTCTATATTTCCCAACCTCTCTTGCAACTAGATGTGATGAAATGTAGAAACAAAGCTTTGACCAACTCAGTATAAATGGAAGATTAGCATAGGATTTTGGGAAAGTCTCAAAAAGAAGATTGCAGACCCTTCTTCAACTCTTCTTGTTTACTCCTTCCTCTGCCATCAACTTGGACATGATGATGGACTCAAGCAGCAGCTTATCAGAGCAACAAAATAGCAGGTACCTTGATCCTCGATGACACTAGAGCCATGAAACCAACTCTAGAGTACCGTCTGCTATGTCTAGACTTCTCTTTCTGAGAGAACAAGAGGGAGGAAGGAAGAGAAGAGAAGAGAAGAGAAGAGAAGAGAAGAGAAGAGAAGAGAAGAGAAGAGAAGAGAAGAGAAGAGAAGAGAAAAGAGAAAAGAAAAAAGAAAAAGAAGAAAGAAAGAAAAGAAAAAAGAAAAGAAAAAGAAGAAAGGAAAG